TTCCAGAGAGGATGGAAATTTAAGCCATGCATACGTATTATGTGACACCACCAAGAAATCGTACAGTCGAGCATGTAAGCGGGACACCGCGAACAGATAGGACGTACAGATTTGACATGCAGTCCAACATTGGAAGCCCAGACATATTTTACACAGGACGCTTCAGTCCTACGGGCATGAGGCCCTGCGGGCATGCAGGCCCTACGGGCAAGCAGGCCCTTCGGACATGCAGGTCCAACATTGGAAGCCCACGACATATTTACACAGGGACGCTTCAGTCCAACGGGGCATGAGGCCCTGCGGGGCATGCAGGCCCTACGGGGCAAGCGGGCCCTTCGGCGCTGCAGGCCCTCCGGACATACAGGCCCTGCGGGACATTCACAGGTCCTACGGGGCATGCAGGCCTGCGGGACATTACAGGCGCCTACGGGACATACAGGCCCTGGCGCAATAACAGGCCCTACCCGGACATGCAGGTCCTCGGGACATGCAGGTCCCTCCTACGGACCCTCCGTAGGCGTACAAATTTAGGTGTACATATTAGAGTAGAAGTAGGTATCTTAGGTACGTAGGGTTGTTTCCATTCTAAGTAGTGCTGCCAGTATAAAGTATGAAAGCTGAAAAAACCCCCCAAGTAGCCTTGCCAAGAAAGGAAGGGGGCTCTACGTAGGGTTGTTTGGACCCTAGGGACTGTAGGTGTTTTGTGATTATGTAAGTCGCCCGTCGACGAATGGTTTGACAAGCGTAGTACATTTACAAGTAAATAACTCCAAGTTACACTGGGCATTATCTTGTCATAAAGCGATGTAGTCGCAGGAGAGGACCTCACTTTTTCGTCGACAAAGTCGCGTACAAGTCTGTCCTTCTGGAAGTACACGTCGGATGAGATAACGGTGAATCCAGTACCGCATTATGAAGCTAGGCACTTAGGCAGCTGAATACAGCGTCCTGCGGCCTATGAGGGTCGGTTAAAGCGAATAGTGCAGCAGCGAGCCTTACTCGTTCGTGAGTCTAGTAGCGAATCGGACGCATTGGGATTGCTCATACTACTACGGCACGCAACAAGACGACCGACACTAAGGTTGGAGTCCTCAGCTACGGCTGACACCCCGTTTCTCGCGCTACCGACTGGCGGGGAGGTGGGGAGCCCGGACACGCAGGTTTGAGTTCCCTCTGGTCGAAGAGGTTGGCACTAATACAAGGTTGGTCTAGTGACTGGTGAATGTCGGTAGTGGCTCCAACTACTCGCGCATGTAATCATTAATGCAAGCCTTGACGCACGCAAGGGAGCATCAACAACTCAAGGCCTAGACGCGATGGTCTTTGCGACAGCGGCTTCAGGTACGGCCCCCGGGTGTAGCGAGCGGTGACAGAACATCTTCGACATCTGGTAAAGAAGAAACTCCAGTTGGACCAAGGAAAAGTGACATGCCATGAAGTGTGGCGCAAAGCGGAGCTCTTAGATAAAGTTTGAACTAATTTCGGAACTTGTCGTGCTAACACGAAGAAGAACCAAGCACCAAGTAAGACGACTCCAGCGCTCTATAACTTGTGACGTCTCAGTGTCCAGGAAGTCCTACCTGACCTAAGTCAACCCCTCTTTGACGCGGACGAAAGTCGCAGAGAACCGCCTAATCAAAGTCCAACTAATCTTCTATGCTAGTGAAATTTTATTCGCACGAGTCATAATCCCATTTAGTAACCGCTTAAGTTCCAATCTTACATATAGTGAGGTATTGACATATGACCCCCGAAAAAAAAGGAGTTATTAAGGACCACTCCGTAAGTGCGAGAGAGTAAGTTTCTATAAGGACTACGGTTGAAATAACAAAGTGACCGGATAGAGATAAAGAGACAGTCGTAGCGCACAAGAGTAAACTCGGATCGAAGGTATTTCACTCTAACATCAATTGGGATTCATAATCATCGAAGTAGCACACGAGGGTTACCGCACGTCCATATTTCTTCACGTATGCAAAGAACGGTTTAGATGAATTCTCATTTCCCTACATGACCTTCTACTCTTGATAAAAACTGAAGCCCAACAAAATCCACTTTTTATTGGATATCATGTACTTGGCCTTAACATTACACAATGATGACATTACTTCTATCTTTCGCATAAAAATGGAAATGAGAAATCCAGTCAAAACCACGCGCTAAAACCCAAGAACAATCGGGATAAACTTATGTCACCATCTGGCGCGATAGGAATCGAACGAAAGAAAGTGTACACTGCTTCAAAGTCGAGAAGACAATCAACACTACGCGTGCACACACCCGAACAACTTCATTTCAGCGCACACCTTTGAAGACTTTGTTAGAGGGCTTCCTTAGGACTTTAGCGCTTTGGGTTTGAAGGGTTTCTGAACGCTGGACAGTCGAAAGTGTACTGGATGGTGCCGAACAGAGGTTCAAAACGAAAAAAAACACACACCACGTTCTGTAGGAGCCAATCGTAACGGCGGTCTCTTGTTTACTCCAGAGAGTAAAGAACATTCTGTACCTGTGTGCGCTAGACTTTAGTTGGCTCCTGCACCAAATTACAGAAATGCAGGGCTGACGATCGCTAGTCGTCATTATTTTATGCTAGGGGAAAAGGACAAATGAGAGGTCGAACTCGGACACGTAAACAACTGTGCGTAATTTTCCACACGGCGATATTACACGTAAATAATTTAACCCCCCATTGTCAAAGTCCATCGTTAGGTAACGGATGGATTTAGCGAAATGGTGCGCGCTTTGATATTACTTGGTAAGTTGACGGAAACGTCCGGATTTGTGTACTTGTTTTTGGTGCGGTGAAAAGTAAAACCCAAAGGATAACGACTGTGTCTCAAATTTTGTCATTACTAGACTACAAAGAACCCTTTATCGCACGGCACTGAGGTCCGGATGAATGTAGGACGAGAAAGCGGAGGAGGACCACCGTCCGAGTTGTGGCAGTGATGAGGATGAGACGCCTTGATTAGCAGCGGAAGTAGCTGCACCTATTCTAAATGAATGCCCCGTGTATAGAAGGGGGGATAACCCGGATTTCATTAGCACTTGCTTTATTTCTTCTTTTCTTCAAATGTGGGTTCTCTTGACCTTTGTGCTGACCCCCACTAGGGATGCACCGATACACATATTTTCACTTCCGATCCGATTCCGATAACTAAATTTGGATATCTGCCGATACCGATACTATTCCGATATCTCTGATAACAGTCTTGATCTTTCAAATTATACCAGCCACTTGATAGACCAAAGTATACTGGCACAGGAAGCACTTAAGTAGAAGTTGTAGCCTACTAAACCTCCAAAAAATAGCCCTTACATTTATGAGGACATACATGATCATCATCTTTACTGTTAACAAACTACACGCAAGCAGGATCAGGCCGCGAAAACCTTCATTTTCGACCACTGATAATGGTTGGTCATCGAGTACGATGAAGTTCAGTACCTTCCCAGTTATTTCTTTAGCTTTCACGTTGTCTGGTGAGAGTTTACCTTGTCTTTCGAATGACTGTAGAAGTGACTCCTGACGGCTAGTCTGTGCTTTCAGCCCCCTCACGGCTAAGAACTCATCGTGCTCTTTAGGG